CCTCCTCCTCTTCTTTATAGACAGGTAAAGATGGGTCTCTTGAAGGAACTGGGGATCACACTCTAGGCAAAGGTTGGACAGGTGATCAATGTACAGCATGAGATTTTGCCGTGGCTATGTGCCTCCAACAGTGACTGGATCATCTAGTTAAAAAAAAAGATACATTCAAATTTGTAATATTTTATTAAGGATATGCACAAGGGAAAAACAAGTATGGAAGAAACAACATACCTATATAAAAAAAATATATCTGGATGATAAACGCTTGTTACACTATAATTACTTAGACCTTTGATATTTCATTTCTCTTCTTAACTTTTATTTAATTAAATCCTAGAACCTGATGAAGTAGGTTGTTACCTATGGAAGGGCATGTCCTTCTGTATAAGTCAGACTCTAAGGCTGCATAGAGACATTCAGGGAGGTTGTATCACAGTAAATATAGCCACCCAATCTAAGGTAAGTCAAGAAGGAGGAAGGGGGTAGTAGGGGTGGGTTGGGGTGACTGGGGTGATGAGCAGACTCTATGGAGAGATTGCGGGGGGCAGGTGGTGTCCAGGGGGCAGGCAGGATCTGCAAGGGGGTTGTTGGGGTCCAGGTGGATTTCGCAGGATCAGGGGGGCTTGCAGGGTCTGTGGGGGCCTTGGGAGGATGGGGCATTCTCTCCCTCACCTCCTGGGACCAGGGGCTATGTTCAGCCCCCTGATCCCCCAACACCCTCAGACAAACAAGCCTCCCAGTGAAGCTACACCCCATCCCTCCCCCCCTCCCTCCACCCTGACTTACTTCCTCAACTCCCAACATCAGCAAATGATAGAAATGGGACCAGGAGTGGCTTGTGGGATGGGGGCTTGGTGGGCAGGGGCGGGGGGAGGTCTGGCTGGTCCATGGGAGGGGGTTATCCATGGGAGGTTGAGGGGGCTCGGGGGCTAAAAATAACCCAATGCCAGAGTGGGGGTCAGGAAAAGTGCAGACTCAGGCTGGGACCAGTGGCTGGGTTTTCCCAGTCCCGGGGCTGCACTGAGAACTGTATAGAATTTCAGTTAGATTGGTCTTGCTGGACCCAATGTAAGTTACGTGTACCTCTGATGTAGTCTGACTGAGATCAGGTTAGCCATTTTTAAACTGACTTAAGGGTATCTATACACATGCTCAAGGATGTGGGGCTTGTTTTAATTAAAGTGGCTCTCAGAGAACCACTCTAATTAAAATGCTGCAGTGTCACACTTATTCAGTATCCAACCTTTCAAAATGGCAGTGGGAGCACTTTAACTAAAGCTTGCCATCATTTTGAAATACAGGGCACTGAATACCCATGATTTCATAGATTTCATAGACATTAGGGCTGGAAGGGACCTGGGAAAATCATCAAGTCCAGCCCCCCACCCAAAGG